TTCTAGTTGGATTTGGCATGTCTCAAAGGATAATTACATCATTATTTTAGGTAACTGTGTCTGGTTGGTGCTCCTGCCATCTTGCAGTGGTTTCGATTTTGTGCTTCTTGCATATCTTCCAGTGCACATATGTCGCTACCTTGTTATGTTTGTGGGTATATTCATTTTTTTGCCAGTTCTGAAAATCGTGAAATAATATAGTCGACAGTTTCATCATATTTTCCGAATATACTGCATTTCGAGTTAGTGTCATCCTTCATTATGTGACAGTGATAGGATCTGGTTGCGAGGCTTTGGTCCTGAGCTGCAATAATTTGGCCTTCTGTCTCAGTTTTCAACCCGGTGCTCCTCAGCCACTGATGCGTTTTCTATCGGTGCACATCTGCTTCTGTTGTTTTTTGTTTTAGTTATTTGTCATAAAACACCTTGTCATTTCATTTTTTTTTTTTGTAATTTCATTTGGCCAAGTTGTTTTGCTTTTTGTTTTACTCGTTTGGCATACATGCTATTCTCTTCGATTTTTGTTGGTAGGGTTTCATGTATATTAAACAGTTTCTTGAAGAGTGCATCTTATTTGTTGATGGAGTGGATTTGATATTTTGATATTTGTAGGAGAGTGTCATTGGATTTTGTGAGGTATGCTTCCAGTCCAATTGTTGTAGTTTTTAGAGTAAGTTCCAGTTGAATTAAATCTTGGCCTCCTTAAAGCTCTTGGTACGTACAGCCTATCAATATTTGATTTTAGGTGGTGCATCCTCATTTGGGTAAGCATTTTTTCTGGTCTTAGCATCTAATCTTTTAATCTCATTCAACTTCCATTTAATAATGTTGAAACTGTATGTTACTATGGGTATAGCTAAGGCTGATAGCCTTCATTTTATTGGCACCCATTAAGTTCGCCTTCTAGTATCAAACACACTCTTCTATAATATTCTTTCCTGATCTTTTTTCTTCCTAATTGAATGTTGTATTCCATCTCCTTCATTAATTCCTAAGTATTTGTATCTACCATCTTAGTCTGGTTCCTTAATCTTGTTATTGATATCAACGTCTAAATCCGTAGTTTTTGTTCGTTTACCGCCTTTGAAGGTGGCTTTTGTAAATTTGTTGATTCCAAATTTCTTCCTAATGTTTTCGCTGAAGATTTTGACAATGGCATTCAGCGAGGCTATCGTAAGGTGGTGGGGTGTGTGCAAACCCTACAAGGAATTATTATTAGTGGGCGCAATCTTAACACTATATGATACACAGATGACACTGTGTTGATGGCAATCACAGAAGGAAAACTACTTTAAAGCGAGGGTCACCCTTTATAAGGCCCGGGGGCTACGCGAGGTAGAGGGTTATGTTTGGCGGTCATTTGCATGTATAGGAGTGGAAGGTAACGGTTAATCCTGGCCTTGAAGACGTTAAGATTGTAGTGATCTTGTTGGGAGACGGTTCCACAGTGAAGTGCTTCACGGTAAGAATCTGCTCATGTGGAACTTACTTCTCACCAAGGGAATGTGGGAGGTTTTCTACTTTGAGTGAGGTCTGGGCAGCTCTAGCCCAAATATGACAACAGTACTTCATTTTTGCCTGATATAGATCTTGAGGTAGAGGATAGAAGGAGGAGTCAGTTACTTACTGGTGCGGTACAGAGAGCCAACCATTTTACCTACATCCTTGGTAACGGATCGTATATACGAGTTTCACTTGAGATCGGGTGTGAGTTTGAGGTCAAACAGTCTTTCAAGGCCCGGTGCTTCCCCGAGATGAACTGCGTTGATCTTAGTTTGGTGGTAGATCAGCGTCAGATCGGCGATGATGGAATATAGCTAGCTTGGTCTGAGACATTGAATGTAATCAGCTAGTTTTTACACCCCTGGGTAGTTTAAGAAGACACAGTGGAGTAATAGATAGCAACACGGGTTGAGGAATCGGGGAGCCGAGTTCGAATTCTACTCGAATCTATTATATTCACTTACGTGCTAATACTCTTGGGGAAAGTTATGAATGCTCTTCTCAAGCTATGGGCTAATAGCAGGACTGACTGGGTTATATTATATAGCCTTGGGTAGCAACTGGTTTAGAAGAAAAACTCTGAATTGAAAACCGGACTGGAGACAAAACTTGATGGGCAGGTAGGGGCTTTAGAGCCTTGCAAGGGAAACGTCACGCCGAAATATAACCTGCATCCTTGCACATCGCTTATCTTGTGACAGCTTTTGAACCAGAAAACAAACGGCAGACATTGGACAAAAGAGTGGGACTGAGAATGCACAAACCTTTCTCACTTTGTTGTGGCCTTGTTAGTGCCAGAATTAAAGACACAAGAAAGGAATTGAGTTAAACAAATATATTAACATAAAACAGTAATAAAAACATATACAAACGAGAGTGTTACAGCAAGAATGTTCGGTCCGACTATCAGAGCTGACTGCTGGAAATTTCACTCTCCAAAAGGCAGTACCTGCTCCTATTTATAGCTGGGAGAGTCCATGCGTGCGTGGGTAAGTTACCATAACACACTTAAATAAATTTCAGGTGCAGGTCATTTTACGACATTATTAGATGAATCTTCTACTCACACGAAAGAACTCATCGGTAATGTGTAAATTAAATACTCATGCGTTGGCTCACGACGCCAGAATCTATGAGTAGTTTGTACAAGATCGGAAGAGAGATCAGTCGCCAATCTCTGACCATCGATAGTTTCAGAGTTGAGCCCGTATATAGTCGTATCAGCAGTTTACATATGATCTGAGTATATACTTAGGTAGATCATTTATGAAGATCAGAATGAGGGTTGGTCTGAGGGATGACCCCTGGGGTACGCCTGTGTTGTCCTCTAGGGCTCCAGAGGACTGCCATTGCTAACTACCTTCATGGACCTAACTGTTAGGAAGTTTTTTTTATGATCGAGAAGACCCTTCCAGTGATTCCATAACTAGAGGACTTGTATAGTAAACCTTTGTGCGACACCTAGATAAGGTAGTAAAGGAAAGTGGGAAAAAAGGACTAACCATCAACTGTAAGAAGATGGTTGTCAGAAAGAAAAAAAAAGCCTGATACGAAATACGAATTAGAGATGTCGAAATCAAAAAATTCCAGAAGATGGAAAATGTGATCCGAATGAGCATTGAAATAGCAAAAGACCATTCCAAAAGCTAAGCAAAGTATTAAGAAACAGGAAAATTTCGTTAGAAACAAAGATAAGCGTGCTGAACTGCTATGTAATATAAATCATTGCGAATGCTGGACAATGATCTCACAGATGAAGAGAATAGAAATAGGTAATAGAAGGTAATAGAAGGTAATAGAAATGTGGTTCTACAGAAGGATGCTGAGAATACCATGGATGGAGAGCATAAGCGATGAAAAAAGTTCAAGAAGAACGAAAACGAAAACGAGACTAGCACTCAGAATCAGAAAGAGATACCTGAAATTTCTTGAACACATAATGAGGAAGGAGGGCTTGGAGAATTTGACACTCACAGGATATATTGAAGGTAAAAAGAATAGGGAGAGCGGGCAACCTACCCGAAGCGAATGGATGGCGCAACGACGAGTGAGAGGTTTGACAAAAGGACAAAAGTTGCTAAGAGCTTCAAGTGATAGGAACTTGTGGAGAGCCAAGATCCCTCACGCCCTAAAAGTATACCGCATATAAAATTAATTAATTGTTTCGTTTTTTAACCTTTACAGGTTATTTAAAGCCAGAAAATACTTTTAGATTGTAAGAATATTTTTTATAGATAATAATGATTTAGTAATGCAAGTCTTACTAATTAACCCATAGCTGGGGGAGAAGAAGAGGATTCATAGCTTTCTGAAGGGTATTTTAGCATAAGTAAATATAACGGACTCGACTGGAATTTGAACTCGGCTTTCCGATTTGTAATTCCGAGCCATTGTCCATTGCAACATCCGCACATCCAAGCTTACTTAAAGGGGTCACTCCTCATGGTACTGACCAGGCTCAACGTTGCTTAACTTCAGTGATTTAAACGGGATATCGCCGTAAGACCGAGCAGATAGAAAATGGCTGATGACTTTTAATAAGGCCCCAATATAAACAAACATTAGGTACTGATTATGATACTTTAAAATGGAATATAGAGGAGAAATTGATCATCAGCAGAACTCGAACACTTAAGTTGGAATCATTGAAAGATACACAGTGTAGAGCAGGATGTATACTTCTAAAATTATATTCAATTGTATGTTTTTCTCTAAAGATACAACAGTTACCAAAATCATCCTTTTATACAGGGTGTCCATAAAGTTTGTGTGCACTTTAAAAAATTATAACTTTATTTGTATTTGCGATAGAAATAATCTGTAAAAAATGTTATAAAGTTTAATGTACCTCGTTTTAAGTATAGCTAAAATAACTAATGTGATTTCAGGCATTACTGTAAATCAGTTGGCATTTTTTTTTCCGTGAACTGCAAAATCGTATTACCCTTTGGATTGTTAATGATGGAGGACATGTGGAAATTTAAATAAAATTTCAATAAAACCTTAAAAAATATAGATTTATTTCTTTCTAATCCTTTTTACAAATTATTTCTATAATTCTGTATAATAGTTTTTATGTCATAATTACACCATTCATGTTATAATGATCATTGCAAAATATTTGTTTAATCAGGGAGTTCTACTAATTATTACGCTTTGTTTATGATCTCTTGATTCCATGTAGGATTTTTCGAGAGGTTACCATAGTTAAAAAATGAAAATACTTTTGATACACTTTTGATATATGCACAAATAAATAGCTGTTTTTATTATTTATTTCTCTCCTTTATCATTGTTTTTTCTATCTTTTTAGCCAATCCCAACGTTTTATCCAACAAAAATACGACACACCCACGATTCGCCGATAAAAATAAAATTTCAGATCACCATTCATGAAACACGGTCAACTAACATGATATGAAACCATGACTTTATTTCTGCTAACATCTTTTTCCTTGCTCCTCACCTGAAAATCAAACGCCATTTCATCCCATAAGCAACTATTTTATCTACCCTTCTTCTCTTTGTCGTTAAACTCCTCCCTGTCTTTCATTCATCCTCTCCAATCACAATCCTGTTATCTTCAATCTGCTTCTTCCTTCTCAATCACAATTTTCACTTCTGTATCTATCCTTCCCATTTGCAAGTTTCCTCTCTATCTTTTATTTGTCCTTTCTTCTCACAAAAAACTATCGTTCCTCTTTTGCCAATCACATAACTCCCTCAATCAATTTTCTTCCTCATTCGCAATACTTTTATTTCCTCTTCTCCAATCATAAAACTACTCTCTATATTTCCTCCTCGGAATCTAAAGACTTCCCTCTTTTGTTCCTCTTCCCCAATCACAAGACCTCTCTCTCTCTTATTCCTTCCCTAATCACAAACCCCCTCTTTCATTCTCCCTTTTCGATCACAAGACCCTTCTCTATTACTCGTCCACCCTAATCACAAGGCTCCCCTTTATCATTCCGTCTCCCCAATAACAAGACCATTCTCTATCTTTCCTTTCTCTTTATCATTTACGCAGAATGAAGTGAATAATAATCATTCGGAGAAGAAGGACAGAGAGGGTTAAATCTAAAATGGTTGAATCAATGTTGGATGTGGCGGGAAAAGATAAAAGACAAACAAAATGGTGGATGAAATTGTTGGGGACTGTGAGACGATCGAGACCGAACATCAATTCGAATGATTTTTAAGGAATCTGTGAAGTTGACTTGCGGCCAAATCCATAGTCACGTCCCTGTCCTAATCTGCAATAAAGTAGGAAAGCAAATCCGATAAAATCGGAATCACACACACACACACACACACACACACACACACACTAAATCTTCTTCTTATTTTCTTTGGTTATTATTTTTTTTAAATTTCATTTTGTCATCTTTGTGTTTTGTTCGTTTTCTTTTTATTTATTTCGAGACAGATCTTAAGATCATCTGAACCTTTCTATCAAAACATATTTGTTAATAAAGCGGACATTACAAGCGTACTTTTTAGTTTTAGGTTTGTTCCCCACCACCACCAACATGTTCGTATGCGCGTGTTTGTGTGCGCGTGCGCATGAGTGCGCGCATGCGCGCGCGTGTGTGTGTTTTAAAGTACTCGTCTGCACAGACCTATCGTTCTTTCTGTTTTTCCCTTTTTTCATTCGGAAGAAGCAGACATATAAAATGACGGTGTGTAAAGATACTGGTTTTTCCCGGTAACTCCGTGCACGTGAAACAGAATATACTATGTTTGAGTTTAAAAAGAAAGAAGAGAGAATTAAATAAATAAGTAGGTTAAAAACAAAAGAAAGAGAATTGTGCTGGTATAAGGCCACTTTCATGGAACACTTACTCAGGATAAACTCACTACGAATGGCCTGCATGACTAACCTGTCAACCACCGCACTATGGTAAGTTATGATGTGAATGTAAAAGAATCTCGTTATACGTGCTGAGAGCGGTGATGGCTCTCCACTACTTCTTATCCGTTTGTCTTTCCACTATCCCTCCTAGTCCCTGTTTTACCTGCCATTTACGAAACGTCGTTAGGGAAGTTATTCGCTGCGTTCCTCTTTATCTCTTGTGAGTATCAAATTCTTCAAGCCTTCTTTCCTCATTATTCATTGAAATTTCCAGGATACATAATGAAGAAAGAGAGTTCGGAGAATTTAACGCTGACGGGATAAGTGTATCACTACCCAGGTTCTTCCCCAAAGTTGGCTACAAGATTACGAAGCGGGATTATCCGATGAGAATTGATTGATTTGACTTGATTTTTCACGGTTTATCAACCTTATTTAAAGCCAGAAAATATTTCTAGATTGTAAGAAGTTTTTGAACGCAATAATGAATTACTGATACCAGTCCTACTAATTAACCCATAGCTGGAGGGAAAAGATGTGGATTCACACCTTTCCCAAGGGTATTTACGAATAAGTGAATATGACAAAGCCGATTGGAATTGAACTCGGCTTTTCGAATTCCAATTCCGATCCGCATATCCAAAAATACAGAATCTTTTATTCCCAAACGATCACCCATTTAGGTACTGACCAAGCTTGACGTTGCTTAACTTCGTAAAAGAACTGGTGTTTCAATGTGATATGGCTATAATCCAACCAATGAGCATTTTAGATGCATACTAACATTTTCGTTACGTTACCAAAATTCTTGAAATTCCATGTCTTTTCAGGATAGAGTCAATAATGTCTCTCAGTAGATTTTCTTTTATTATTACCCCTGAATTTTTGCGTATATATTAATAAGGCATCCTCAATAATCTCGTGAATACTTTTGACTTTCTGGATTATTTGTTCAAAGATCCAAGTATTAGTTGATAGGAACGTCGGTATAAAGAGATTTGACATATAACTGAAAAAATACGACACTAAACTTTTCATACGTAAATAATTCTTTATTCATTTCTGGTCAAATTACCCTCGTCCGAATTGATATTATTTATTATGGATAACTTCCTGTTATCTTTTGTCTATATTTGTTAAATTCAGATGGTGTCACTTACTTCTTTATATTGGTGGACCAAGCGTCATTCTTCGGGACCCGATTCCGATCCTTCTAAGCCAATCCTTGGGAAACTTAAGACTTTCTGATGATACACCGAGTACAAAACTTTCTTTGTATGTAGATATGCGAACCAACTACATATTGGGGCCGGCAGAAATCAACTCTTAGATGAAGGCTCGTAATGAACATCGGATTCGATTCAACCTCTGACATTTTTAGGCGCGAGGCACATACTACACTCGGCGCCCCCTGTATATTAATCTATCTATCTATCTATCTATCTATCTATCTATCTATCTATCTATCTATCTAGTTCTAATTATTGAAGTTTATATATATATATATATATATATATATATATATATATATATATATATATATATATCAGATAATCTTAAGGAGCCAAACAAACCTAACTAGGTTTCACCTAAACTGATAGTCAGTGCAAATGTTATGTAGTTGCCTTTTACTCATTGGGGTGTTTTTTCTTTGGACTTTGAGCTTGAACTCTGGACGATTGTTTTCGCCTTAGTTTAATGTCCTTGGTTCTTTCTTTTTTTATTCCTTATTTTTCCTTGGGTACCGATTTGTCCTATTACAAGTCAAACTATCAAGGTTTTTTACCACCATTTATATATATATATATATATATATATATATATATATATATATATATATATATATATATACCACAGTCAAAATGTTTGGGACTACCGTGCATTTCTTTAAAAAACACATTTCTTTGAGAAATTTGTATTTTTAAGTAAAATTTCAGTAACTACAGTGTATTTGCTTTTATTTAGGCAAAAATAAGTACTTAACTATAAAATAAATATCATACAACAGCATCATATTTTGTTTTCATTAATAATGTGTGTATATGATTAGAACAAATATAAAATTTTCACTTAGCTGATTGATATTATATTCAGCATCTTGACTCCAGAGTTTCCTAGATGAACGTTTTTGTAATCGTTCGGTTCACTCGTCAGGAGGTTTCAGTAAAAGAATCATAAATGTTCATATTTCTCTCTCTCTCTCTCTCTCTCTCTCTCTTTATCTATCTATCTATCTATCATTGCATAATTGTCCGTGTCATAAAATATGTGTGTGTGATACTATATATATATATATATATATATATATATATATGTATGTATGAAAACTATAGATAATGTTCATTTTCTTCAGTTCACTGCTACTAACAAGCAGGAATTCTTTCTTCTGATGATGGCCATGATGGTCGAAACTAGTCGAGGAACCTCATTAAAATAATAAAACAAAAAATATTAATATAAGAGCAAGTGTCTGAAAATTTTTTTTTAATTGTTCAATATTTTTATTGTTCAAACATATATATATATATATGTATATATATATATATGTGTGTGTGTGTGGTCGTGTGTATGTTCGTGTGTGTGTTCGTGTGATAAAATATAATTTTATGGTATTTATCAGGTAAAAGTTCTGAATATTTGTTGTAGAGTTGTAGAGCGTATGTAAATAATATAATATCAACATTCTGAATGGACAGTATTCAAACATTCGTTGAATGGAGTATTATGTCACTATTTACATTATTCGGAATATTGTCCAATCTTTTAGGCATCCTTTTATATTTCTAAGATGAGGTATTATGTACACTATTTACATTATTCGGACTATTGTCCTCATCTTTGTCGCCATATTTATTACAACGGTTTGACCGTTGTATGCTCCGGCCTTTTCTGCGGAAAGAAATATAAAGGGGAGACAGGCCGCCCCCTTAAGGTAAGGCTTCAAGAACACCAGTAAGCTGTAACACAAGAGGAAGTGGAAAAATCAGGCGTGGCTGACCACATATGGAGAGAAAAGGGAGATCACCTCCGTCTTTGGGATCAGGTTGAGATCAAAGATAAGGAACATCATTGGAAAATTCGTAAACTTAAGGAATCAGCACATATGCTATGCCACAAAAATCTCCTGAGCCAAGCAAGCATAGAAATGAATACAATATGGGAACCAGTAATAAAGAGTGCCAGAGAAAAGTGATAATAACAACAAAAATTGTAATATGAGATCTGGTAAAAAACATGCAATGATAACAGCAAAAATTGCACAAATGTAAAACGTTTCATTGAAACTAGATTTGATTACGCGTTTCCCCTTTCTAGGCTTCATCCGATCCAAACGAAAGAGATACACATACAGACATTACTTTCTTTCGTTTTTCGATCTAATGAAGCCTAGAAAGGTGAAACACGTAATCAAATCTAGCTTTGATAATGGCTAACAGTAGCCAAAATTACCCAGATATTCATCAATTTATATTTAAACCAAGAAAATGTTCCTAAATGTAGAATCTATCTATCTATCTATATATATATATATATATATATATATATATATATATATATATATATATATATAAAGGAAGAGGTAAATGAGATAAATAGATATTAGCAACCATATTCTTGTGAGCTGGCGTGCATACGCAGGTAAAGCAATAAATACACATATACCTACGTTTAGTGTGCGACTCGAGTTTCATTGGTTACCCAACTCATCGGCATGGCCACGAGATATAACTTATGAGCATTTCTATACTTTTTTTAAATAAACAATAAGCTATATCTTGTGCCCGATGAGATGGGTAACCAACGAAACTCGAGTTACCTAAACATATATATAGTGTATTTATTAATATATATTTATATATATATATATATATATATGTGTGTGTGTGTGTGTGTGTGTGTGTGTGTGTGTGTGTGTGTGTGTGTGTGTGTGTGTGTGTGTGTTATTCTTTATTTTTACCTATACTCGGGCGGTGTGAAAAAAAAACAAATAATATAATTTGTAAAATAAAATATTAGCCAAACCGAAATCAGGGAAAAATCAAGAAAAGAAAAAGAAAAGACTAAAAACATCCGTGCCGCTTGAAAATAATCAAGCAACACCGCAAAGTCTCGCCAAAAGGGAAAAAAACGAAAGAGTAACCTAATTTTAACGTAAAAGTGCTCAATACACAAAATAGAGCAAAAACTAGAAACCTAAAGAGCCAGAACCTATCCACATTGGTTTCAATTAACGGATAACTCTGCTCAGAATTATCCGGATGATCCGTTTGAAACCTAGGTAGATGGTTTATGGCTCTTTATATATATATATATATATATATATATATATATATATATATATATATATATATATATATATATATAAAATTCAGTGAAAATAAAAAATAAAAGTTTAAGACAGTAAAAAATATACGGAGCTATTTAAGACATTTAAGGCATTTCCGCTACCTCCGGTATCGTGAAGTAGTGAGTATTTTCTCCACCCGGTAGCAGAAAGGTTGGTTTTCCTGCAAAATTTTAGGCCTTAAACACACTATCTCTCTCTCTCTCTCTCTCTCTCTCTCTCTCTCTCTCTCTCTCTCTCTCTCTCTCTCTCTCTCTCACACACACACACACGTTTGGGGACCTTGTGGCCCTTCAAAAAATGTGAATGGTCCTGCATGAAACCTTCACCGCTATAATCAAATCTCATGTGCTGTTGTCGGGCTGTCGGTTTCCTGGGAACTGATCTGCTTGACCCTCATACATCGAATTCGACGGGAGAGTCAAGTATATATATATATTTGTGTGTGTGTGTGTGTGTGTATATGTGTGTATCCCGTCACCCACAGCTAGATTGTTTCGCTGTATCACAGCTCATGAGTGTAACTATATATCCGATCGCTTCAGGCCGGGACTGAAACCCGACCGATTTGGTATCAGTCGGAGTTGGACCCCTAGGCCATCGCCGCCCGACAGTGGAATAAACGAATTTTTTGTGTATTTATGTCTTTATCGTTTTAAAATCAGTCGTTTGCTCTTCCCAAAATTCTGGGACGTTCTTATATTAATTATTTACAATATTTCATATATTTTCCGGTTTTTCTCTTTCATGTTTATGTTTTTAACACAAAAAAGTTAAAGACAGGGGGTAAATTACATGCATATGTATAAGTATTATTCTATTAAAATTTCAATGTCGTAGAAATATTTTGCTAAAATATTTAATTTTTCAACATATTAAAGAGTAGAAATGAACCGGATGTGTAGCCATTGCGTGTTTTGTCTAATTTCCGTTTCAAAACTTATTTTCGAATTTTGAGGGAAAGATGCTTTGTTGAAACATTAATGTTATCAAAACATGGCAGACCTTGTTTTCCTTTTATTAATGTTTTAAATCTATTTCGGCGAATTTCCTGTCTTTGAGACAAAAGACGTTAAATTACGCTGATTCTCAAAGAACAAATATGGCCGACATTAAATCCTTTTGTAAACAATTGTTATCAACACGCCGACTTTGTGTTTTATTATTTATTGCGCTGAGTGCATTTGAAATCTTGCTGTTTCAAATAAGAGGTTTTTAAACTGAGTAAAAATTTCTGAAAACGTGTAGTACTTGTGTATAATACGACCCTCTTTTTTGCCTTTAGTTTTCGTTGAAAATTTATCATATTATACACAAAATTATAGTAGTGTTTCAAGACACGGTGGAGTAATGGATAGCGGCTCGGATTGAAGAATTGGAGAGCCGATTTCAAATTCCAGTCGAATCCATTATATTCACTTACATGCTAATACCCTTGGGAAAGGTATAGATCCTCTTCTTTCCTCACCAGCTATGGGTAAATAGCTGGGGAGGGGGGAAGAAGAGGACGTTTCGACCATTGTGCCATTTGGCCTTCTTCAAGCGTCCATTGATAACCTTGTAATTTAGAATCAAACACTTTATTCAATCGAGGAAGGGAGATTGTTCCCATTCCGTCTTTTATGTTTAAGAGATATTTAATGTCATTTATTATTGCCTAATCATGTTTATCTCTGTGTGTCCTTCTTCCTCTTCTTCCCCCCCAGCTATGGGTAAATAGCAGGGCGGACCGTGTTCTGTAGCCTTGAATGGCAACTGGTCTGCCGTAGAAAGAAATGGCAACCTATTGCGGAAAAAAATCTGCCTCGTCAGTCATGTATTGAAAGATACATGATCGCCTAAGCGTGTATCACGCATGCACATAACTGAATGAATGTTTCGAGTGATATATACTTTAGATTTTCTCTCGTAGATAATGCATCTTAAAGCAGGATGAAGAATCTATTGGCTGAAATGTGTTAAAAACAACAAAGATGGCGACAGTGATTTGAAAAATACGTGAAATAATTGGTGCTTTAAGATTTTCTAGAATAGCTGAGTGGTCATATGTATTTCGTTCTTACTCTTAACAGATTTTAGGAGTCTACAGACATTAATCCGTACGCTGACGTGAGTGCGGACGTGCCATTG